AAGGCCCCACGGTGGGCGCCAAATGTTGAATCTGAGTTTTGTACGGTCGATTGACTAGAAAACTAAACTCGATTTGTGGGTTCTTCGAAGGCGTTTTATTAATCAGAGTTGATATCAAGAGGAGATTACAGAAAGATTCGAGAAAAGAACAAAGGTCGGAGCTTTATGAAAGTCCGACCAGATTACAAGGAGGTTCGATCAATCGTAAAACCCTAAACCTTGCCGTCAGTGTTCTTGTAGTAATTTGCGGATCCCTTTCTCTTTCCCCCTCTTCGTCCTTTTATACTCCAAGTTCTTTTTCCCTGCTTCGTTCGCCCTAAAGCTCGTCTTAGAGGCCCAAGATCGAGCTCGTGCTTAATGGGCTTTCGAGCCAATAATTACTCGTTAACCCGGTTTAAATCGTCCTCATCAACCGGTTATGTAACTGAACCGGTCGTTCGGACTTCTATTTTGACGTTTCTTCCAATTGTATTTCGGTCGAACTTTAGATGGGCCAAAGACTGTCATTCGATGGGCCTTGGGGATGGATGATCAATCCTCCTCCAACAGTATTTGAGGCGGCCATGCCGACATCATTCTCCCTGACTCTGAGTTCACTCTCACTTGCACACTTAGCCTAAGTCGTACTTTTTTTCCTAAGTCATACTCTTTCTCGAGTCTAGTATTTTTGTATAAAACATTAGTCTTATCTCTTATAATTTTAAAAGATAGTATATATAGGCACAGGCTGCCAAATTTATCGAACCATGTTTTGATTCCAAAACCATCAAAGGTAAAACCCGGAAAACTAAGGAGCTTGTAAAGTGATTGGGGTACCAAATAGAAGGGGCGTTAAGCCGGACTATAAAACACTGGCTTGAGTTGCAAAGGTGAAGGATTGCATTTAGGGGTTCGTCAGGTTATCACTGGGTACATTTCTTAGGTATAGGGCCGATCATTCTCTGATGGTTGTTGGAGATTGGCATCAGAGATATTGAAGTTTCATGGGTCTCTTCTTGTTTTGTAGGTATCGTTGTAGTGATTCTATAACCTCTAGTTAAATGTACGGACCTTAGCCATTGATAGAATATGAGGACTTCTTTTTATATTGAATGTGCACATAAATGTTGGTGCCTTATAACAATAAAAAGTTAACACAGAGAAATGTTTAATATAATTTCAAAAATCTACAAGATTAGATAATCTTTTGAATGGCAACTACAGGCACATAAGCTTTAATTTAATTTTAACTGAAATTTTTTTTGATTAAAAATTTATATAATTGGGTTTTCTCTTAATTTAAAGAATATTTTGATATAAAATCAGTTCACCAAAATTTGTGGTGATGATTGTTTTTCATTATTTTTTAGTTTCACTTTTTATTTTTAGATTTTGGTTTTTGGTTTTTAGTTTTTAAGTTTCTACTTTTCATTTTTAGTTTTTGGTTTGGGTTTTTAATTTTTAAACCCGCTGAGTTAGTTTGAACTGATATTACCAACAAAAAAATCTCAAATAATCAAACATCTAATTTAAAACTGAAAAGATGAAAACAAATTTTTTTAAAAAATTGAAATAGTTTATTTTGTAAATAAACAAAGCAAAAAATATAATATGTGTTTTCAGTTTTTGGTTTGAGATTTTAGTTTTTAGATTTGGTTTTTGGTTTTGCTTTACATTTTTTTAATCAGTAAATTATTTAAGAAAAATAAAACAATAAATTATTTAAAAGTTACAATTGAAATTTATCAAAACAAAGTGATTGTTATTTAAAATAGAAAAATAGATTAACATGTTTTAAAGTACATGATTTAAGTAAATGATTAATAATAGATAATTTTATTTTGTTAAAAATATTAAATACCTTTTGGGTCTGAAAATAATAATTGATTTTTTGATCTTTTAAGGTGAAAAGTTTATTCAATGTTTTTTGGAGTTTTTTCTTAATATTAAGCCCAAAAACTAAACTATATAATTTGTTCAAAAAATAAAAGTAAGCCCAAGACTATATTTCATAAATAATCACTGGTTTAATTTAAGTATAATTAGTAGATTTGCATATTCCATATTTTGATGATATATATTCTTTTAGAACATTCCATATTTGTAAGAGAAAATATGTGTTTTTGGTATACACATAGATATCTGTCATATTTTGAAGGTAATTTACATTAAGATCGTCTTTTACATTAATTGTGTTGGTTTAATTTAATTAATACAGTTCAATCAATTATATGACTTATATTATTTGTAATATTCTAGAAATATTCCAAATTTAAATAACAATTTGTATCAGTAGATAAAAAGAATAACTCTATTTTAATAGAATAGATTTCACTTTTAGTTATTTCTAAAAGTTCCGTCTATGTGTTTGTTTGTAATTAGTTGTAAATGTAATAAGATTAGTCATTTGTAATAGTAACCAGCAGAGTCGAATTTTTCTTCTTCTATTCAATATCTTTACCCATAATATTATAACCCGGTCCAACTAGTATCAGCAGCCCATCTCTTAACAAAACCAAACGAACAAATCATCTCCAAAAAGATTAGAGTTTTCTAAATTTTATATTCGAAGTTTAAAAATATTATGCTTCAAAATTTTTTTTAACAATTTACTTCAAAACTATTTATATTTCATACTATGGTATATTTATTATAACTAAGTCAAATTCATACACAAATTAAATAACTAGAACATATACAAATATATTATAACAATATTAATTGATAAAATATTACACTAGAATATAAAATTATAAATAGTACTATATAATTAAATATTAAATTACCAACAAAATATTACATTAAATCTTATAATATTGTTAGTGTCTAATTCTAGTATTAAAATATTTTAAATCTTATTTTAGTATTTTTAAAAAACAAATTATGTGTAAAGTTTAAATTTATAAAAACTTTTTTTTGCAAAAATGCTTAAAAAATATAAATATGATATATAATTATAAAGACCACAATACAAATAAAATATAAAATTTTAAATTTGAAGTTTAGATTAGTGACATTCTATATTTGATATTTAACTTTAGTTACTCAAAACTTTATACTCCTTCTGTTTCATTATAAGTGTCACTCTATAACTGTGCACACAGATTAAGGAAACAATTAATTTTACATATTTCTTATAAAAAACACAGTTATCCATACACCTAACCATATTTTTACCAATAAAAAAAATAATTATAAAATAAAATTAATAAATTTTGCATTGAAAACTGAAAATGACACTAGAATATATTGTTTTTGGAAACTTTTCTTTTTTTAGAGTCAAAAACGGACTTTATTCTATATTGCCCCACTCACTCTCATCTTCATTCTATTTTAATCCATCATAAATTTGATTTTTTTTTTCTTTCTCAAAATCAAAATGTGATTAAAAAATCAATAACCCTTAATAAATTAGTATTATATGTAATATAAATTACTAGAAACTACCTTGAATTACTAGGAATTACTAGAAACTACCTTGAATTACTAGAAACTACTATGAACAAAAAAACAAACTACCTTGAATTACTAGAAACTACTACGAACAAAAAAAAAATTGGGGCAGTGAGAAAAATGGTGGGTAGTGAGAATAGTTATTTTTCAAATGGGGTATATTAGAATACTTTCCGTCAAAAACTTAATATTTCAAGTTGTAGATTCTTTGGACTATGGAGATGCTCTTGGGCTGACTCAATCGTCTAAAATCGAATAAGGCTCTCTCTCTCTCGATCAAAATCAGCGATGAGTGGTACAGTGGCAATGCACAGTGTCTTCGTCTACGGCAGCCTCATGGCGGACGACGTCGTTCGTCTTCTCCTCAACCGTGTCCCTTCCACAGCCTCCGCCATCCTCCCTGATTTGTACGATCCCTTCTCTCTCTCTCTCTCTGATTGTTGAAATCGAATCGAAAACTGATGATTGATTCTCAGCCATAGATTCAGCATCAAAGGACGTGTTTATCCCGCGATCTTACCAGCTCAGGCCGATAAAGTCTCTGGCAAGGTTCGAATCTCTGATCAATGCTCTTCTAGGGATTTCAATTTTTTTAGAGATTTTGTATAAATTTGAATCGCAGGTACTGTTTGGAATCACGGATGATGAACTCTACGTTTTGGATGAGTTTGAAGATACTGAGTATGTTAGAGACAACGTCCATGTTTTATTGACTGTGAGTTGTGTTATGTTTCAGATTATATAAAGCTGTGATTTAGTATTAAGATGCTGAGACATTTAATTATGTTTGGATTGAACAGGATAGCTCAGAGAAACTGGAGACAAAGACATACATTTGGGCTAACAAAGAGGATCCTGATCTCTACGGTACATGGGATTTCGAGGTGAGTTATGTCTTAACTTGTTCATGGGTGGGGTTACTACATGTATAACTCTTGCTCTATATTTATATTTTTTTAAAGGAATGGAAGCAAGTTCACATGGAAGGTTTCTTGAAGATGACTAAAGAATTTGCACAAGAGGTGAAGTTTCCGGAATCTGAGACATGATTTGAGTCAGTAGATGAGATTTGGTATTGTTTCATCAATGGAAAACGCTGGCATTGGGTTTATATATTACTATTGGAAGGATTAAGATTCTTCTTCATGAATATAATGCATACGGTAGCACTTGTGTCAAGGAATAACACTCTTCTTTATTATGCTGTATGGTTAATACAATACATTGTAGCACTTATGTATTGAAAATTGAGACGAATGATATTTGCCACTATAGTGGTATGCCTTCGGAATTTCTGTGTTAAAAGGACTTAGGAAACCAATATGTTATCCGGCTTGGATAATAGCTTCAGGAGCGGCCTAAGATCATGGTAACCATAGACATTTTGTAAGAATTTTAATTAAAAAAAAATTAACATTTGGAATTTTTTTTGTTTTTTTTTGAACAACTAACATTTGGAAAACCTCAATCTATATGAATTACATTTAGAAATTTGTAGGTTTAAATTATGTTTGACGGGACTTTAATTAGAACTTGCTCTAACTCATCACCATTAGCTTCCATTTATCTGAAAGGATCAATAACACATTGATCCATATCCACAAATCGATAACCGATTATAAATTCTTGTCTTTGTCATTATATCATAGAAGCAGACCTCCTTATTGGTAGTATATAGGCCTGCGACTTCGGTTTTCCGAAACCAAACCGAACCATCGGTTTTCGGTTAACCAAATATTTTGAAACCTATTCTGAATTTAACGGAATTAAATTTCCGCTTGGTTCGGTTATCGGTTAATTTCGGTGTTCAAAATTATTTCCGAAAATAATCGATTTTATTGGTTTTCGGTTAATTCCGGTATAATTTCCAAAAAATCGGATATTTTTGGATATTTTTGGTTAAGTTCGGATATTTTGGTTTTTCGGTTTAATTCGGTTCTGTTTTCGGTTAATTTTGGATATTTTCGGTTTTTTTGGTTTTTTAAATTTTTTTTTTTTTGAAAATCAAAAACCAAACCGAACCGACTCGAAAACCGAATTAATTTTCAGAATCATACGAACTAAACCAAATTCAAAACTGAAACCGAACTGAAATCCGAAAACCAAAAATTTCGGTTCGGCTCGGTTCCGACCGTTCGGTTCGGTTTAAAGTCGCAGGCCTAGTAGTATACATGTAGGAATTGAATTGATTAGTAAAGAGCTTCTAATGGGCCTAAACTTGACAAATTATAGGCCCATTAATTGCTGCATTCAATCAACCACCCGCCACGGAAGTTGGATTTGGATTAGGGGAAAGAAATCAAAATGGCGACGTGGATAACGTTACATCCTCCTTATCCACGCTTCATGCCACCACCATCCTCGCCTTCGTCGCCTCATTCATCCTCGTCGCGTCGACATTACCGTGCTCTTTTCAAACCATTTCGATGCACTCCACTTCAGCAACAAGAACGCCAGCTCGATCAGTCGCAGGTACCAACTCACGACTTGATTACCATTACTATGATTCAAGAATTGATTGAGTGATTTTGTTCGTGAAGGGAGACGAAGAAGAGGGGGCTGTGATTATGTGTGAGGACTGTAACGGGAAAGGATGGTTGCTCTGCGATTTCTGCAAAGGACAGAAAACTAATGTTAAATCTGAGAACAAGAAAATCTATCGTCGCTGTCCCACTTGTAGAGCTGTAAGTAAGCCACATTACAAAAAAAAACATAACTCCTTAGAAACTGTGGTTCTTGCTCTGATTAGTGAAGATATGGATTAACAGGTGGGATATGTGTTGTGCAAAAGGTGTAAAGTGTTCAAATGTGTCACGTTTCCTAATTTAGAAGATGGAGATGAGCTTTTGTTCTAAGCTATCCTTCAGTGACCCATTTTGAGTTTCATTTTCAGGTTCCTTTCCTTCTCCCATTTGTGGTTATGTATATTCAGTTTAGCCATATGTATAAGCACATTCTGTAACTGTAACATTAATCTGCTAAGTGATTGCATTGATTTCTTCTTGTGCTGATTTTTGAACCTTTCCCTGTTGATTAGCTTGAAAACTATCAGTCATGGACGTACACACCGACGGTTTTTTATGATTCGAATGCATATGGTTGTTCTTGCTAATATGCTACTGGATCTTGTTGTATTTTTCTTTAATATGATCTGTAACTATTCCATCTGTTGTTATATATAACTTACTCTTCTTCTTCTTACTCGCCAAGCTCAAACATCCAATTTAGCCTTTTGTATAAACACATTTGTAATTGTTAAACATTAATCTGATAAGTAACTGCATTGCCTTCTTCACTCATCTTTATGTTTATGTTTAAGCTGATTTTTTTAACCTCTCCCTGTTGATTTTTTATGGGATTCCCTTGTCGGTTAGCTTGAAAACTATCAACGGTTTTTTTATGATTCCAAGGCATATGGTTTGTTTTTGTTAATCTGTTTCTGGATTTTGCTGTCTTTGTAATAGAATCTGCAACTATTCTTTCTCCAAGTATTTTATTTCATTATCCTCTCTATCATGTTCAGGAGATTGGCGCACATGTATAGCACTAATTGTTTAAGTTTTTATGGTATTATATCTAGCTCAGGAACATATGTGATATGTCATGTGGCCTTTTCTGAATTATCGGATCTCGAAATCTCCATGTTTATGGTTTGACCTTGACAATCATTAATCATATGGCAGAGAATTAACTTATGATTCCATGACACATTTCTTGAATATCTGATTGGTTAATGGGATGATCAAATCAGTACTTTTGATTTGCCGTACTCTTTCGAGATGGAAGGTATATGCTGCATGTGAACACAATAATGGAGCTGCTTAGTTTACATAATAATATTCATGCAACTCTGTTATTAACTTATTATATTACTAAGTACCCTTATTATAGCTTTAGTTTCCGTAAGATTAGCTTAGGATGCCGTACTTATTGCCTATGAATAGTTTAACAACTACATTCCAGTTGGTGATTAATAATACAGTTCCTTGATTATTAGTATGATTATATTATTGATTACTTTTGAACATAATGCAACTTCTGTTCACATGGTTGTTCGGAAAAAACGCTAACTGCAGAAACATGAACCAAAAAAAAGAAAAAAGAAAGGCTATGCATTTTGGAATATTGCGAGTTTGATTCCACTATATTATTTGTTTAGTCACGTTATAGAGTTAAATGAAAAAAAGCTCGTGTTTGATCTCCTCCAATTTCATTAGGATCTGCTGAGATCATTGATCAACTTGTATGATACTCCAAACTAATAGACATTCAAACTCTTTGGTTAGAACTTACATCATGAAGGTCGCGTCATGACATGTTTGACATGTGTGTTATGTTTCTAGTGATTTGTGTAGCATATGCAGTCGACTGGATTACTTACAATTGAAATCTTTGTGTATAATATGAAAAGCTCAGATATTGTTTTTGCTTGATTCACTTTATACATTATTTGCTTAGTTCTTGTGCACGAAGCTACTGCCTTTTTTCATCAGGAATAGATGGTTATATCAATTGCATGGTGGGTTCTTGTGAGAAACTCCACCAGGGAATCTGACAAATTCATTTCAAGTCTTCATCAGTTGAGGCTCAGAGCCACTACTGAGCCAGTAACCCTAACAAATTTTTTGGAAGTAAAGTAGAGAAAGAACAAAGAATCACCTCGGAGGTTTTCATTTCAGTAATCCGTTTATACATTCCGTTAATAATTAAAAAAAAACTCTCTTCTCTCTCTCAGAAGTTTATAAGCACACAAATCCAAATCCCTAGAGAAAAAGTGGGAAGATGGAAATAAGCAGAAGGGCTCAAGTCAACAAGAGAGGAAAAAGACGCAGAAGTAAAAGCATTAATGAAAAGGAAACTATCTGCACATTGGGCTGTGAGGTTGGTGTGAAGGAGTCCGAGGGCAACCAGATGGATGCCCATATCTCGCCTTCTCATCTCCTGCTGCTACATTGAATTTACAATCCTGTTTAGCAGCTGTTGTCACCAGGTACCCATCGTTCTTCTCCTCCATTATCTTCAATATGCTCTCGAACACAGCAACTTCACAAGGAATCCTCAAGACACCAGCTTGTTGAAACCCAAACTCTTCTTCTGCCTCATGTAGAAGAACAAGGAATGCTTGGTGGCTAAGGTATTCTGTTGGTATTGTGTACCTCTTCTTCTCTAAGCCGACGGAGACAGCTAGATGCCCTTTAGGAACTGGTGTTGTATCTGTAAATGACAGTGTCCTCTTGAGAAACTTGATGCTCTTGCTTCCTCCGCCAAAGCTGTTGTTGCCTTCGTTGTTGGTGGTGGATGTTTTTGATTCATTTGCTTGTTTCCTCCATTTCTTGAGGATCTGTTGAAGCTTAACGATATCTCTGATCTTGTTGGACTTCTTAGCATCCATTGCGGAGACAGAAGGCAGAAGACACAAAATGGGTTTTGTGCTCTGTTTTGTTTGTGTGATGGTTTGGTGTTTGTTTCTCTTTCTACGTGTGTAGTGATGAGGGATATATAGAGATGGTGACCTTCGAATTCTGAATTAGATAATTACAAAATTAAAAGGTTCTCTATTTTTAAGTTAAACTATTGAGCTAATCATTTTCTTGAGGGTTAATCATTATTTATCTAAACCAACTTAAACTTGTTGAAAAAGGTTTGAACTTTAAAAGTGGTGCCTTCTTATATACTTGATATAAGATGCTTTTATTGGTTTTTACTGTGGTTTTTAGTAAGACAATATGGTATTTTATGTATAACATTCATGTGTGTTTAAAAAAAAAAACAAGTACAATAGTCATGTTGGAGTGTTCTGTTAGGTTCTAGGTTGCTTTGGAAAGAAAAAAAGCCATTTGGATCAGAAATTGAAATATTTGGAAGAATCGTGTTAAAGCCTCAAAAAATTTTAGCATTGGTTGATAGATTTTTTTCATCGTTATATCGAGCTAAACTTTGAGTTAGCTTTTATTTGGTGGTGGTTTGAAGTCGATTCAAGGGTTGCATCAAAAGTTACGGCTATTTTCATGAACACCTGTTAAGTTGGCGGCTAGACGAAAAGTGCACGAGATCAACTGATCCATACTCTAAGATCAGTAGATCTTGTCCACGATGTAGAAAATTTCCTGAAACATGATCCAGACTCACCAAAAAGACAAGGTTCGACTTGGATACTCCAAGTTATTGTTATTTCTTTCTACTGCCAAACTGTTAAGATAAAATAATGCAAAGTTTTTTTCGTGATACTACAAAAATGAAATGTAAAGCAAAAAAAAAATATCAAAGTTGTTATAGAATAAAGAAGAAGGTTGTAACTCTGTATATCTTATTCATCACGTGCACATACATATATATACATACAAGAGAATAAGCATATTCCTTAGGAGATAAGGATTACAACAATAAAGGGGATGATTATCCTAATCCTATAATGATTAGGATAACTACAACATATGGATAAATACAAGGGAGGATAGTGACTGAT